TATAGCACTTGTCACTTGGATTTTTTCATTTCTGAACAGTACTTTCTTAATAAGTGCCCTCCCGTAGCCAAGTGGATAAAACCATCAAATATCGGTAGTTAGTTAATCGTGGGTTCAGACATGACTTTCTGGCTGGCCACATGGAGTTTTTCAGGTTTTCTTCATGTTAATAATATCTAAATAGGGGCCAGTTTTACATAAAAAGTCTTCCTGGGATGCATCCCACTTGGCTGATTGGTCATGTGTTGCATTGCTGTAACCAAATAAACCAAACTAATTCTAATGAGCAATTATTTATTGTGTCATTGTCACAATGCCGAGCTGCAATTTTTTGTCACAACGTTCTCAATTCTTTTAGTGGTGGTTTTGCCCCTGCATATCATACTTTTCCAGTTAGCAAATAGTCATGCTGATCATCTATCTAACTTCATTCAGGGGAAAATTTTGAATTGAAGTAATGTGCCTTCTTGTTCAAACTGGAAGTTCATATATATTTAATCTGAACCTCATACTCTAAGCTTTCCGTATTTGGTCTTGATTTTCATCTATCTACTAACTTCATTCTCAAGTTTAAGGAATGACAGACAGACAGAGTAAGGACAGTGGAAATTTATAGGTATACAATTTTTTCAAATTGCAGCCCAATAATTTTTCTATAAATACGATATTTATGAGAACATACTTCCCACAATACAATCTGTTGCAAAAATATAAACACTTTATTATTGCATAAAAGCATTTATTTTTGCATTTTTACAAGATTTTTTTTGTTTAAACAAGTTTTATATGAAGTATTTCAGACATTAAGGTTAGCAACTTTGATCACATACGTTGTGAAGGCCCAGGCCTTCACAACCTATCCAACACAAATCACTTTTCAAATATTAATATAGACCAATTTTAATTAGTAGTCGTTGACCATCCTCTCTTCCAGGAGGAGGTTAATAACTACTTTTGGTCAAATTACTTCAACCCCATCCTGAACAGTCCCTTCTTCCTATCAGACCCAGTGGTATGGTTGCATTCGAATAGGAAAATTACATAATATAAGGTTATCAGCAAACACAAAATATGATGTAAGTTGTTTTCGAGGTTGCCAAGTTTAAATATGTGGTTTGTTTTTTTTGAGAAATTTGATTTGTTAGCAATTACCATTTGATATTTGGCTGTGAATGGTACAGTTACTTAAAGTTAACATTAGAAAAAAATATGGTATCTTAAGAAATTTAGTATATTATATTTTCAATTGGTATCTACTTGATCAATGAAATAGTGTCTCCTTGAGAGAAAACAACCTTCAACAAAACAATGGTGCTCTATTTGCCAGTTATCTATGACAACGGTCGGCAACACGGGCCACCCAAATTTTCTCAATGGTCCACGAGAAAATTTGGGTGGTCCATGGAGGAATTTGAACATTGATCAACTGAAGGTTACACGAAGTATTACAAAAGAAATGCAAAATGCTTAGTTGCTTTTTTCACTCATTGGGGTTCTTTATTCAAATCTAAAACCAAAAACGAAGTGACTGTTATCAATAAATAATGAACAATAAACAATATTGTAAGTGTGTACAATAAACAAATATCGTCCTTTGTTTTTTTCCACGAAGAATTCATAAACTTGTTTCAAACAATCAACAATGAACTTTAGGCTTGCGAATTTCATATTAATATAGTAAAATTAAACTTAAGATAATTATTCTACAGATTTTGTATCGTTTAAAAAAATTCATGATAGTGGTCCATGGGATTCAAAATTCTGACTTTAGTGGTCCGTGAGGTCAGAAAGGTTGCTCATCGCTGCTCTATGAAGTCTGTGCCCAGTATATAAAGAAGGCTCAGAAAAAGAGATCATTTTATTCTGGACTTGGACTCTGCTCTATACAGTTGTGTTAGTCCGAACTAGAATCCGTTGTTCACAATAAAAACACGCAAAAATTAAGAAGGGAAAGTTATATGCACTAAAAGTGCATATAACTTTCAATGTTTATTATGTGAACATTTAAAAAGCATGGGTTTTTAAAACCCATGCTTTTTAAGATGTACCATACCAACTTAAGAAGACAAATGCATGCACAATAATGTGTAAAGACACCAATTGAGGGGGAGTTTTTATTCCCTACAATCAGGATGGCTTAAGGTCTACGCGTATGTTGGTGGCGGTTTTAAGAGGCAGCAAAATTCAATAAGAATAAACGGTTTCACACCAGAAACCGTTTATTCTTGTTGAAAATGCTTACATTAATTTAGCAATGGTCCCTAAGTTCAGAACTTTGGGTTGTCTTCGGAAGTTGTTTTCAGAGTCAATCTGGTCCTACACTGGAGGGGCTCCGTGACAGTGTTGAGTGAAAAGTTCGAGATCTGAAGTGACAGTATACAAAAGATGAAAGTAAGCACGACAGCTGGAGGCAAACGAACACAAGGTAGTCTAGTGGAAGTCCCTTTTGTCCTTGAAATCGGTGTTTTTATAAGTTTTTCGAGCTTGACTTGTTGCTAATTGGTCAGACTTTTCCTCATCACTTTCCAATTGGTCTTCTACCTGTCTCCAGCTGTAAATGGAGCTTCGTACAGTTTGTGGGAAAGGTCGGCTGGAGATGGTTTATCTGACACCATCTTTTAGACTCTGATCGTGTTTAATCGTTGACTATGACACCTATGCTCATTTTAATATTTTGCTAGTTTTGTTTTGCTTTTTAAACTGTGTCTTAACTTTTAAATTTTCTTTTTCTATTTTTAAAATTGTTTTTCCCTCTACTCTTTATGAGTATTGACGTCAAAGTTCACCATTGCCGGCTCGACACCTATATAATTTGTTTTCTTGATGGTTTAACTTATTTTTACATATCCCCTTTTTTTGTGGGGGCTATTTCCAGGGCCTCACAAATGCAGTCATTCAATGATTCATGCATGAATCTGTGGCCAGGGAACATAATATACAAACTTCAGCAAATTTTAGGAAAATGAAATGATTTGTACACAAAAACAATTCACAGACATTGATCTGTATACTTCAGAATTTCTTATGAAAGCTGCCACATAATTCTGAAATGGAATCTGGACAAGTCAAATTTACCATAATGGATCTGCTTCTTGAACAATGTTTATTATGTGAACATTTACAGCTGATTGCAGAGACAGAGTTTACATTAAACGACATTTATCAACAGAACAGCCTATAGACGTTGGCTGGCTGAACTGCAGTTTAAAATGTGTTGCAAAGACGGCGCTCTATTTCTGAATGCCCTTTAAATGAACTTCAGCAAAACATTGGATCTTGCTTTCTACGCTATTACTCCCCTGTTTTAGGAGTAGTTCAGCCAATCGGGTTAGTTTGTTTGTGATGTCAGTAATGGTCACCAGTTATATTCGGAAAGCTTCCAGAAATAAAATCTTAAGGCCGTCAAAACCATTGTTCGGCAATTAATGACAATCCTTTTCCATTTCGATAATTAATTTTGTTGCCAATACGGTTTAAAATATGAATAAATCCATATTTAGAAAATTTATACCGAATTCGAAATTCATCTTTGCAATAGATTTTCAAGGAATTATTTTGAAATCTTATTACTGTCACCCTTCATAACTATCAAAATGAATAATTTTAAATATTTTATTATTAATATTACATTTTTTTATATCTATAAACAGATTTCTGTAATTATTAAAATTGTCTCGTTTGTTTAACAGTACAGTGACCCCGAAATGCATTAACGTTTTATAACCAACACGATACTCAAATTGTAAATAAATGCATTTGATTTAAATTAATTGTATTTTTAAGTCTTCACTCATTTGAATATCGGAATTGGAACATTTAAAACAAATTTAAAGTATTTAATTTTGTTATTTTTGCTTCAAGCAATTAATTAATGAATAATTTTGTCGATTTGTACCGTTTACGACATTTATCAANTCAGGACTGGAAAATGATCAGATAGATCGCAATTTAAAACTTGAATTTTTACACATATATCAGCCAGCAAATCAGAACATAACATAAGGTCTATTACTGAACTTCCAACACCAGCAACACAAGTAAATTCAGATGGATAGTCATTTTTTATTCTTCCGTTTAAAATTATTAATTGCAGTTGTTGAGTATTTTTTATTAATTGAAGTCCTAATCTATTATGTTTATTATCTTTTGATTTTCGGTTAAAGTGGACTAGATTATTTGGTCCATTATAATCTGAATCCATTATCTGCGCTATTCTGGAATTGAAATCACCAAACAACAATACATAAGGAGAAATATTTTTCCATTTTTCGAGAATTTTGAAAATTTCATTTAATAATTCTATCCGATCAGGTGGAACATAAACTAACATCACAATAATTAACTTTTTATATAAATTTTTCATATCAGTAAAACAATATTAAAATTTTCATTATTAAAGTGAATTTGAATTTAATATTTTATTTACTTTCATTTTGTTTTTAAATGAACAGTATTTTATGATTCTGACTTTCGTATACTGATTAATTTTATTCAGTTTCAAAAATTATCATTATACAATACTGTGTATATTTTTTTATTTTCATATTTGTTTTGTTAAATGTTTGTTTATATTGTTTAAAACAAATTTATTTTAAGAAAATTTATTTCAAAACTAGTTTGAATTCAATATATTTTGTAATGTATAAGTTTACAGATATACAGTGTGACTCATAGTATTTTCTTTTGCCTTGCAGGAAAGCATCAGCACTCAACAAAACAGACAAGATTCTCATATGTTTTTACACTTGTATTATTTTAACCAGTGCAGTGAAAGTGTAACCAGAAAGAAGAAAATATAAAATCAAATTACACATATTAACATTTCTGGTTTATGAATCCTGCCCCATTTGTTAAATGCTGATGCTTTTCTTCAAAATCATGTGTTCTGAGACAGTATGGAAAAAGTGCATATTTCATGACACTATAAAATAATCCAATAAATATAATAGTCTATTTTTGTCTTTTATTTATTTATTTATTATCTTTTTCAATATTTATAGAAACTGGAAGAACAGAAAGACTTAGCACAATTCGTTCTTCCAGCACGTTACCTGTTCCTCATCCTAGTAGTCAGCCACCAACGCCAACTCGTTTGACTGGGACTGGAACGCATTTTGAGTTTGAAGACCGGGGTGATCTCATAATGTTTTATAATACTGTGAGATATATTTAATATAAGCAAATAATTTATTTGTCAATTATATGCATATTTTTCATTCCATTTTTCTTTTTAGGTGTATGTGCCAAAACTACAATCATTTGCTTTGAAATTCACACAAGGCAATAACAATGAGGTTAGCAATTTCCTACTTTTAATAATAATAATAATTTTATTGAAATAACAGAAATTTTATTTAATAATAAATGTTAAAGTCAATTAAATTCATTATTAATTTATTATTGAGAATATCTATTTATGAAAGCAAACAACCCTAATCAGTTCTGACAAATAGAATGTAGCTGCAGAAAATCAAAAAGTTGAGATGTTTAACTTAAAAAGTGATAACCAAAATTTTGATTTATTTTATATTCTCTATAAGCAATATATAAAAGATAAAACAAAATAAAAAATTATTTAATAATCTTTAAGCAAATCTACTTTGATATTTTTAAACATAATTATTATTAATGTGAATAACAGTTAAAAATCTGTATAAAAACTTTTAACTTGAATATGACTTTTAACATTTTACATAAATTAAAGTGAATTTAAGTAACTTTTTTTAAATCAATGAATAATAAAAAATATACTTTTTTTTAATGAAACATTAAAACAAAAATACAAAAAAAATAACAAGATATAGTCAAGTATTCTTATTTTCCTACATAGATAATAACATGGATATTATNAGAAAATTTACATACTTAAGTACTAATAGTTCACGAAAATAATAATTTTCGTGAACTATTATTACTTAATTATGTAAAAATTTATTACATTTCCTGTTGTACGAGGGTTTTACCCAATTCTCGAACCGTGTCAGAGTAAATCCGTGCTATAAAAGTACCGTGTTATACGGGGGATGGTACCAATTCTCGAACCGTGTTAGAGTGAATCTGTTCTGTAGAAGTGCCGTGTTATACGGGGGTTACCTGTATTTGTAATTTAATCAAGAAATTAATTTTGTGACACACTTATACATTTTGTATAAGAAAAAAAAAAACACTTATACATCCACAAATACAACGTACCGTACATACAAAAAAAAAAACGATTTTTTGTATTTCTGGCTGTTTCAAGGTCCCGTGTCCAAAAACCGAGTAATCTTAGAACTCCGAACTTATTTTTTGACCGATGGTCATACTTTTTCTCTGTTATATATAACAACCAGGAAAGTAAAAACACAGCTAAGATCATTAAGTATATTTTAAAAAACTCTAACTTTAAAATAGATTACTTTACTTTTAAATCAGTTACGTGCATCGGAATTTGACAGTGATTCACAGTTTGAAATTTAAATTAAGAAATTTTTATACTCAAGCTTTAAAGATTGTAACAGATTTATGACTCTTTACAACTTACAGGCGATATTAGTAGAATTAAACATTTATATGCGACTGAATTATCTTTGAACAAGTTAATACAATCTTTCATTGATTGTAGACACAACGCAAAAATTATACTTATAAATTCTATTTTTCGAATTTAATTATTTTATAACACAATATCAAATCATACAAAATCTAATTGATATCACAAAATTCTACCAAAATGTGAGAAGAGATATCAGTTATTTAACTTCCAAACTTCTAACCCTAAAGCTGAAAAAAAATTTTTTTAATTAGGTAAAGTAATTTTTAACATTAATAACTGTGAATGTTTTTATAGTCTGTGCATTTCAATCAGCCATTCCACATGCAGTAGATTATAAGTGGTATATCTAGCGATCAAATATCTCGTAGGTAAATAAACTATCGTAGAAATTATGTCAGGAATTATTTATAAATAATTACTTAAAGTTTTTTAAATTAGGTCGGTTTAGAAAAAACTAAGGAACTTTCCAATGTCAGACGAAAGTTGTACAATTCATTTGCAGGCTTTGTTGTCTGATTAAATATATAATACAGTGAAAACATTTGAAAGTTATTATTCATAATGTATTCAAGATTCATGTATATTACTGTTGTTTTATTAACTTTATTTATTAAAACTTAACATAATAATTGTGTTATGTGATAACAGCTCTAGGAACAAAAGCCTGCCGATCTTTGAAGTAAACAAAATTTTACAGTCAGGCAATAGAATAAATGATTTATTTATATTTTTTAAAATATTTGTTTTCATTATACCAAGTATTTAATGAACTCGTGTTAAATAACACAAGCAACTTTTAAATTAATAGGCAGAAAATTTATTTCACAAATAACTTTTAGTTACAAAATCTCTCGACAACAATAAAATTTCCAATTATATAATTTAAAGAAGAAGAAAGAAATTCTAACGAATTCCGATGAAAATTTTTCTTCGGACGGTGAAATCCTCACGAATATAAAATATAATATATACATTAAATTATAAAACCTGTTTCTCTCAGTCAATTATTAACTAACTGAATGTAACTCTTTAATTCAATGTCATATCAACGTTTATCTGCAGAGGTCAAAAGAATTTCCTTCGTCTTCTTAGTAATAAAATTTAACAGTATTTTTCGTTTAGAAAAGCATTCTTTGAAAACCGAATTTAATGAAAAAATTTGTTGTCAGAAAACTTTTATTTTAAATTATAATATATTCTTGTTCAAATTCACCTCACTTTTCAAAAAATTTTTTTGATTAAATCGGCGATTAAAATGTTTCCCACGGATTTAGTTCCTTGTTGGGAGTGACACATCACATGTGTCACTTTGACTCAATGGGCAAAACTTGTTGGCTGGATCCTAAATACGAATACTGCCAGTAAAGTAATGGGAAAAACCCAGGAGAAATCCCGTATAAAACGGAGGGTACAATGACGATCGTGGCTTTTTCCGTCATTAGCCTTGGACCTTCTTATGTGTATGTATGTGCATCCCTCCATCGCCCTCCTTAATCCANGGGCAAACACTTTATGTCTTTTTTTGAGCAACTGGATTTGAATTAATGACAGCAATACAAAGAGGGCTGTCTGAGTACCTCCCCCTTCTACAAATGCAAATTGTGTATTATTTCTATAATTATTCGCCGCTGTCCAGTAATTAAATTTGTCAGCTAATACTCCAGTAAATACTTTACGTAGACAGGACAGAAGGGCTATTGGTCTGTAATTGGTTGGTTCTTGTTTGTTCCCTTGTTTAAATATCATAGTAAAAATAACTTCGTTCCATTTTTCCGGTATTATACTATTACTATAGAATTGATTAAATTGTCTAGTTAAAAATAACATGGATATAAATTGCTATTATTTATTTATTTGTAATTATAATAATTGATTAATTAAAACAAAAAAGTGTTTTTCTCTCTCTTTGATTATGTTTTGGCAATTTATTTTAATTACTGAAATTTGATGTTTGAAATTTTTCCAAAATTTATGAAAAGAAAATATTGCCTTCGTATTAGGTTTATCAGTTCACATTGTTTTGTTGGGTGGTGAACCACTTGCACACATGCCAAAACTGACATATCAGGAGAAATCATCTGGCACTTAATGTATCATAAAATTTTGCTTCATCACCTCTCTTTTTCAGTCATTCTTTAGGTTTATCATCCAATCATCTTTTTTTTCAATCAGCTTCTTTACATTTATTCAAAGTCTAAAACTTCAGCATGCATAAACATTTTTAAAGCTTACTATATGGTGTATGGATCAAAAAAGTTTGTCTTCACTGTTTTATGTTAAAACATTTCTGGAATTTGAATTGAAACTGTTCTGAAAATATGAAGTTATGATTTTAAAAAAAATTTTTTACCGTCACTTTTAATGNAAAGTTGTACAATTCATTTGCAGGCTTTGTTGTCTGATTAAATATATAATACAGTGAAAACATTTGAAAGTTATTATTCATAATGTATTCAAGATTCATGTATATTACTGTTGTTTTATTAACTTTATTTATTAAAACTTAACATAATAATTGTGTTATGTGATAACAGCTCTAGGAACAAAAGCCTGCCGATCTTTGAAGTAAACAAAATTTTACAGTCAGGCAATAGAATAAATGATTTATTTATATTTTTTAAAATATTTGTTTTCATTATACCAAGTATTTAATGAACTCGTGTTAAATAACACAAGCAACTTTTAAATTAATAGGCAGAAAATTTATTTCACAAATAACTTTTAGTTACAAAATCTCTCGACAACAATAAAATTTCCAATTATATAATTTAAAGAAGAAGAAAGAAATTCTAACGAATTCCGATGAAAATTTTTCTTCGGACGGTGAAATCCTCACGAATATAAAATATAATATATACATTAAATTATAAAACCTGTTTCTCTCAGTCAATTATTAACTAACTGAATGTAACTCTTTAATTCAATGTCATATCAACGTTTATCTGCAGAGGTCAAAAGAATTTCCTTCGTCTTCTTAGTAATAAAATTTAACAGTATTTTTCGTTTAGAAAAGCATTCTTTGAAAACCGAATTTAATGAAAAAATTTGTTGTCAGAAAACTTTTATTTTAAATTATAATATATTCTTGTTCAAATTCACCTCACTTTTCAAAAAATTTTTTTGATTAAATCGGCGATTAAAATGTTTCCCACGGATTTAGTTCCTTGTTGGGAGTGACACATCACATGTGTCACTTTGACTCAACAGGCAAAACTTGTTGGCTGGATCCTAAATACGAATACTGCCAGTAAAGTAATGGGAAAAACCCAGGAGAAATCCCGTATAAAACGGAGGGTACAATGACGATCGTGGCTTTTTCCGTCATTAGCCTTGGACCTTCTTATGTGTATGTATGTGCATCCCTCCATCGCCCTCCTTAATCCAAATCTGGATTAGCGCCTGAAGTGAACCCAACCTGGATTAACACCTGAACTTTAGTCAAATCCTGTGCGCTCTTCAAAAGGGAAATTATTCAACGAGAACCTAATCAGACTCTAGGTATGTATTGCCAAGCGTACCTCATGTAAACTCTCACTCGAGCTGTTCGATAGTTTAACGATAAGTAATTCTGTAAACAGACTTCACCCTATAAATATCCTTTACATTTAAACTGATTTTTGTTAAATGAATAACCTTATAAAGTGCATTTCTTCCGGTGTTTTCCTTCCGTGCCTCATCCGAATCTAACCTGCGAACGCTCAGACGAGAGAACGAACGGTTTCTGTGTCTGCCCATAAAGACACAGCGGTGTCAATCCTGAAGGAAATTTGT